GATCCAGTAGTAGATCTCCCAGTTGAGGGAACCATTCTCATCCAGGAAGGTCTGGGGAGAGACAGAGAGGGCATGAGATGGGACGGCCAGAGCACCGACTGGGGATGTGGGGGACCCTTGGTCGTCCCCAGGTACCTTGAGCACGATGTAGCAGTCGGCCTCGTAGAACTTGCCGTGAAAAGCCTCGTCCACCAGCGTGGGCACAAAGTTCTCGATCTGCCAGACGCAGAGGCCGGGCAGCTGCCCCACATCCTCGCTGAAGAACTCCGAGTAGTCCAGCTGGGGCTTCTCCAGGCCCTGGTCCCAGCGGCGTGTTTTCAGGTCTGGCGCCTTCGCCTCCCCACTCTCCTGCAGGGATGGTTTTTGGGAGGGGGAACGTGCCTTAAGCTGGGGCCAACTGGGTCCCTGCCAGCACCTGGGGTGGGCCAGGGGCACGGTGGTGGTGCCACTCGGGGCCCCTCTCTCACCCCAGACCCTACCTCTATCTTCTTGTTCTTCTCCTGGGCCACGTCTGACATCCCCTTCAGCACCTGCTTGGCCTGGTCGTCCTGGGAAGAGTCTTTGCGCCGCCGGAGCCGCATCTTACGGGCCAGCGGGTCCTTGGTGCCACTACCTGGGGACACAGGGACAGGGTGACAGGCAGCCAGGACACCTGTGCCTTCAGGTGGGGCACACCATGGGGCACGGCTCACTCCCCAGCACGCTGCCTGAGGCAGGGGCTGTCCCCCGTGTCCCCCCCTGCACACCCACCTGCTGCGGCCGCCGCCACAGTGGCCGGGGAGGCTCCGGCCCGGCGGAGCCGGTTCTGCAGGGAGAAGTCGATGTTGTACCACTCCGAGGTCCGATCCACCGGCTTCGGGGGCATCACCAGGTTGGGATTCTCACGCACATCCAGGATCTGTTGAGGAGGGGATGGGAGATCTCACTGCTCTGAAGCACAGGGTCACACGGACACTGAGGATGTGGGGTGGGACAGGAGACCTCCAGATCATCCCAGGCTGAGGTGAGGTGAGGGGAGCCCTGAATCCACCACCTGCCTGGGTTGAACCATGTGCTGGACCACATGTACTGGCCCCAAGACCCCTCGTCCTCACCTCACCCCATCCCACCCTACAGCCCTGGGATCCCAGGGACACGCTGTGGTGGACCCAGCTTGAGGTGGAGGGGATGTTGGGCTCTCACCTCCACGTCTGTCAGGAAGTGGATGGCCTCTGGCAGCGTCACCAGACGGTTCTTGTTCAGCACCAGCTTCCTCAGCTTGGAGCACCTGTGACACATGGACATGCTGGTGAAGGGCCAGGCCAAGGACATGTCCTTCAGGGACATTGAGAGACCCCTTATCATTACACAGCTTCTGTGTCCTCTTGGGGACAGAGCAGATCTGGCTGGGGGTTGTCTCCTACCTGCACAGGCTCTCGGGGATGAGCTCCAGGTTGTTGTTGGCTGCCATGAACTCCTCAAGGTTGGCAAGCTTGCCGATGCCTGAAGGGATCCCATCAAAGTCAAGCTTGTTGGAGTTCAGGTACATCTTCTTCAGCTTGGTCAGCTTGCAGATGGCTGACTGGGGAAGGAGAAGATGGCAGGGTGAGGGAGAACCCAGTGGCATGGAGGCACGGGCAGGGACACCACGTACAGGCAGGGACATACAGGCAAGGAGGTGAGCTGGTTGCGGGACAGGTTGAGGGTCTCCAGCTGGGTCCACTGGTCGATGCAGAGGGACAGCTCCGTGATCTGGTTGCTGCTGAGGTTGAGGCGCCGCAGGCTGCCCAGGGTGTAGAGGCACTCGGGGACACGACTGAGGTCGTTGCAGGACAGGTCGACGTCTGGGTGGAAGACAATGAGGTGACACCACTGGCCAGACCCACACCAGGGCTGAGAGAGCCCCTGGAAGGGCCCATGCACTGTGGGGTGGGTGCCCCAGCCCTACCTGCCAGGTTCACCAGGCCCTCGAGGCTGGTGGGCAGGTTGCTCTGCGTGCGCTGGGTGTTCCTGAGGTGAAGGGTCTGCAGGGCTGTCATTGCTGGGAGCTGCCTGTGGACCACGGAGAACCACGGGGCAGAGACAGTGTCAGGGCTGGAGCAGGCACCCAGCCCAGCCCAGCCCCGGCATCCTGGGATCCAGCCTGGAAAACGGGACCTTACCGGAGCTGCGCGTGCAGGAGGGGGTTGTTGTTGAGGATGAGAGTCTGGAGGTGGACCAGGCGTCTCATCTGTGGTGGGAGGCTCTCCAGCTTGTTGTTGCTCAGGTCGAGGTAGAGCAGGTCCGTCAGGTTGATGAAGAGCTGGTTGGGGATGGACTCGATGCTGCAGGGATATGGGGATCTTCAGGGCTGACTGGGACCTGCACCAGTCCCAGGTCTCCCTCGAAGAAGGGCAGAGAGCAGGACCCAGACTGAAGGGGGGTGAGGAATGGAGGTGGCCATGGCTAGAGGGAGATGGCTGCCCTGGCCCAGACCCACCTGTTGTGGCCGAGGTTGAGGACCAGCATGTTCTTGGCATTCTCCAGTTCCCGGGGACACTCTGTGAGCTGGTTGTAGCTCAGGTCCTGGGGCGAACGGGAGAGCAAAGCAGGGATCACCCTCTACCCTGCACCCAGCAACCACCACCCAAACCCGAGAACCAAGGGGCATCTTCGGGGGCATGGCCTGAAAGGGCACAGGAGCTCTTGCTGCAGGGAAGCTCGTTATGGCCTGAGGACCTGAGGTCCACAGCAGCCAGGCAGTGCTGAGCCCCGATTTACTCCCTGCATCTTTCCCCTGGGTGTTCCTCAGCCCCATCATGCTGTCCAAGAGGCCACTGAGGTGCAGGAGCGAGACCCAGGAGTCTGAGCTGGCTCTTGTATTAGCCAAGGAGACTCTGCACCTACCAGCACCGAGAGGTCATCCAGCTGGAAGATATCATCAGGAACTCCAGAGTTCTTCAGGCTGTTTGCACGAGCCACGATCGCCTTGAGAGGAGAGAGAGAGAGAGTCATGACTGCAGCCACCCACCACATCTACACCTGCTGAGCCCCTAGGGGTGGCCAGGGACGATCCTCGTGTGCCCCCAGAGCCAGGGGCTAGCCAAGAGGTGCCTGGGGACACCAGCCCTGATGCAGGTGGGATGTGTGAGAGGGACACTCACCCGGAGGCAGGGCAGGCCGGAGAGCTCGCCGTGGAGTGTGGTGAGGCTGTTGTGACTCACGGAGAGATGTTCCTGCAGGGAAGACCCAGAGAAACCCCAGTGAGCAGAGAGAGGAGTTGAGGCTGCACAGGGCAGTGGTCAGGACCCCACGCTGACTTGGGGGTTCCTCAAGCCCAGGAACTCAGCCCTGACCCACATGAGGCTGCTGGGATGGCCCCCAGTCTCAAACTGGTTGATTGGCCCCAGCGGGCCCATGCTGCCTCCACACCCCCCCATTCCTTGGGGCAGATCTGGCCGAGACACCCCAGC